TCATTCCTCTTTCCACCACCTCCGGTACAATCTTGTGTTATATATCGCGCGGTGCCTTCCGACCCGTAATGCCAATCGGGATGAGAGGAGATGTTTTTGTCGCGTTGCACAATCTTGCCCATCCTGACATTCGCACTACCCAGCGTCTCGGAGGCAAGTGTTTATTTTGGCCAAGCATGAACACTGATGTCCGCCAGTGGACCCGTTCATGTTTGACCTGTCAGAAGGCCAAAATCGGACGGCACAACAAAGCCCCCATTGACACTTTTCTCGCACCCGATGCACGTTTTACACATGTCCATTTTGATTTGGTAGGTCCTTTTCCAATATCTGGTGGTTTCAACTACTTACTTACTGCGATTGACCGATTTACACGTTGGCCAAATGCAACTCCCATACATAACATAACTACGAATTCTGCTGCTCATGTCTTTTTGGAACGCAGGATTTCCCATCATGACGCCCCCTCAACTGTTACCACCGATCGATACCATTAATTCGAGTCTTGCCTTTTTGACAACCTTACCGACCTCCTCGGATGTTCTTGTCTACGCACGACAGCATACCACCCCTCATCCAACAGCTTAGTCGAAGCTTTCCATCGGCAACTCAAAGACTTGCCCCGAGCTCATGACATCACCTTCCCATTGGATCAGGCATCTGCCATTGCTCATGCTCGGTGTCTGTAGTGCACTCAAGCCCGACTTGGTGTTGTTTTCTGCCGAACCTGTCTACGGTACTACCCAGCGGATTCCCAGGGATTTTTTCGGGTACTCTCAAAGCTCAGCTGACTTGGATCGCGACGATTATATGCAAAGATTGCGTCGAGCCATGACTCATCTTATAGTCACTATTCCATGTGCTTCGACAAGAAAGTCGTACATCGGCCTCGACTTACTAACGTGTTTTTTTTGCATTTGCCCGCTTAGATAACGTTCGTCGACCACTACAACGGCCCTATAACGGCCCATTTGGAGTAATATCTCGCACGGATAAGCATTTTACAATTGATCATGGAGGTCGCACCGACATAGTCTCAGTCGATCGCTTGAAGGCGGCTTATAACGTAGCTCATTCAACTACCCCAATCGAACCAACCTCCACTTGGCATATTGCCACTTGCAATTTCCCAGCCTACGCTTACGCCCAATACCCTGCGTGTTCTCTTATCCGACAGACTCCTCCACTTACGTGCTGCGGTCGCCAGGTTCGTTTCCCCGACCGTAACCAACTTGTACAATATGCATAACACTCCCGCCTTTTCTTTCCATTAACAATAATTTTTCTGAACTCCGTTCTCCTAGGAGGGCGAGCACTGTAGTGAAATTTAAATCCGATTTGTTTTATTCCGTTACAATACGCAGTTTAAAAACTTGACACAACTTTGAATAAGGAATAGAACCTGCCTACGACTTTGTCCTTATTTGTCAGTTTTGAACTATTTTGATACTGCTATCTCCGTTTCCTGGATAGCCTACTGACTGTGTCCAACTAATGGGTTTTTCACTTCCACTATTACGAATTCAAAGGCACTTTATGGAAAAAATTTACAGAACTCCCGTCACGTATTTCTATTTGGCAGGAAACATCATCTTCTAACTTCGTTTCGGAGCAAACTGAAAATGTTGGCTTAAGAGCTTTGTCAATATAAGATTGTCAAAAACCGTTGAAGGTCAATCTAAATAACATTTTATCTGTTCGTTTGTAGATGCTCACGGTGAAATATGTCACAGAGCAGACGAGAATTCTGGACATTTTACCCTTATATGATGTCGTCTTATTAACACAGACTGATTTTGACTTTCCTTACGTACAAACTGTGCACCCTGTAAGTTCGAAACCCTAAACCAAATGCAGTGGTAGTTCGGGCTGATTATTATTCACGAAGTTTAAAGTCTTTGTTTAAAATAAATACTATGTGAGTAGACATATTTTGCAGTGTCGTTATCGCAGGCAATCGAAGAAAGCTCGCAGACAGCCTGACGTGGCTTAAATATTTTTGGCACACAATAAAACACTACTGTTAATGCGGAATGCTCAGTCATGCATTAAGGGCGACACAGAAATAACCAGCAGCATTGCTGCAGGGCCATATGTTGCGCATTTACACCAATCCAAACTTCCACGCGCAGTTGGACCATAAAAATATTAGAGCAGTTAAATCCCGGAAAGCAGTCGAGTTTATTGTATCATAGCACGTATTCCAATCGTCTTGGTAACGGCACAGCTCAACTTATGCTATAATCGCGCAGTCAGAGTCAGCAGTCGACTATGCGATGGCCTGAGGAATTATCGCAAGTGGCTGCCTATACTTGTCGAACTGACAACGTGTTCATATCTACAGACATCACGCCAATCGTCCACCGCGAATTAAGAAAAGCTGGGAATTAATTGTGACTTTGGCCGGGACTAAAAACTCATTCGATCGATGTATCAATCTGGCGCCGGCATACGGACTCCTCCACGGTCACCCCCACACATGTGATACTGATCAGTAACGAGTTAATACCGCGTATATCTGTGTCCTGTTCTATTTCTGCCGTAATTTCCGACAATCATATCCTACAAGAGTCCGGAAGCTCATACCAACTAACAAATATTTCTTTTCAATGATTGACCATCTTACTTTTTATTCATCCATACACATGTATATTTAGCATATGTTTCCACGTAAATTTATTTACTCCTATTGCCTTTCGAATGCAACAGCGGCCTAATAGCGTGAATTCATTCCAATACGAGGTGTAAATCAGAGCGCAAATGAATGCGTTGCAGTACACAGTCTGGGAGTGAAAGAGCATGTATCAGCTATATTTGTCAATTAATGTCCTAAAGTAACCAGGGCTGAGACATAACTACCTGCCCTAATTTGACAAGACAGGCATCTATTTGGAGGTTCTGGCAAAGTGAAGCGACGAAGAATGTATATACTTGCCATTCGGAAGTAACCACTTACGACAACGATAAATAAAATCAGTATGCTCATTTCTTTTAGGTATTGAATAGCGGAGTGGTCGAATTAACCCCGTTTTGATACATTACGTCCGTAATAGAACTCATGAGATGCTGGGCTTTTACACTTTTGCGCACTTTCGGAATGACGGTTTAATAAAATGGGCTAAATTATTATGCGCTTTGTTAGATTATTCAATCGGTTTACTCGGTTGTGCTTTAACTTGGAATTGGCGTTCAGTATAGAACGTTCGTCGCTTGTGTGGTTAAACATGGGTTTCGAACATTTGGTTCGGTCTCCCGGAAGTTTTGAAGATGGCGGGTTAATCTCTAATCCTAGCAACTGCCGACAGCTTCCGACAAGAGATACTAAGTCGCATATAAAAGTGAACATCATGGAGGCCAAAAAGTGCATTATTTTGTATTAATTCATTAATGTTCATCCCTCACACATTCCGCCTCTACTAGAACACTCCAGTCGTTGCGTTTTAGCTCTAGAAAAATACGCTTTCTACGTACGTTGGCAGTGGAGTGGCGTTTGCAGTATTTTTGCCCTATAATTATCGTGCGTATTCTCTCGTATGCATTCGTTATTGAATTAAGGTTTTTTTCACACGTAACTTCCACTTAGTCGACGTCCATAGCAAAGGCAGTGTTCCCTGTAGCCATGTTCGGAATTTCACATTCAGTTAATAACATGTTGCGATATGTAACAAAAACTGCGTTTCACTAGATGGCGTCACGGGGGCACCAGGCGATTTTCGAAACACCAACCGTAAGCTGATAACTAATTGTAGGTGTTTGCTACGAATGAATTTCTGTCCAGTGCGATGCATGCATTGACAGATAGCACGTGCTACATCTTTTCAATCCAAGATACAACTAGCTGCAACGAATCTCAATAAACGCGCCTTATCTCATATAGGGCTCAGCATGCTCCATTGTGGCATCAAAACCATATCATGGCGCCTTTGTCGCTTCCACCGACGGCAGACACTAAAAACACGCATATTTCTTGATCCCTAAAATTAGTTCCCATGTGCAAAGTTAAGCACTGCGTTCCCTCACTCACTCGACTATCAGTCGAGTGTTTCACGTTTCCCCCCTTCCCCCGCCTGGCAACGAAATGCCAACCGGCTGCTCCGTTCTCCTCATTCTAGTGATTCCTCTCCGACATTTAACCGTCCCATGACAGTGCTCATGGATTTTCGGCTGGTTGCCTATAACTGTCTGCTTTTGTGAGTTACCCCCTGTGTATCGCATAAAGGTGTTCTGCCGTTATCAAATGCATCTTTAGCAATTAAATCACATTGGCATTCCAATCAAGGGCATCCATCCTTTCTGAAGCTGCTAGTTCACGGAATTACAGAAAGTGGAGTTTGAGTGCAGATCGAAAACCCACATGTAGACTTGAAATTTGCAAATGCAGTTTATCTGGTCTTATCAGTTTTGGTCGAAATATTGGTTTGTGTAAGTCTTGCAATGAGAAAATACCTCTCCTCTAAATATAGACGGACTTACAGTTAAATTCAGGGGCATATATTTCCGTGTACAGACCATAGCCCATTCTCGGAATCTGTGCATAGTCGCCTGTAATTCAGGAAAGTCTCCATTCGTGCGCCCCGCATTTCAATCTGGCAATAAACCAAGGCTACAGTGAAGCCGTCATTCAACGATGCCTGCTGACTCTTGAAAAGTATTTGGCATTTCCCGTTTGCGTGTGACTCCCAGGCCGGTACAGGGCTAGAAGACAGTCTGTTGGCATATTATGCTTTATTATCGGTCTGGAGTCGAGGATGCTTGGCCTCTTGTTATAGCGCTGACAATGCTATAACTGAGTTTCCAGCAGGTCATTAAACATTGTCGCATAAGGAAGACGAAAAAATTACAACTACGTAGGAGAGAATTATATCCTTCGCAGACCAGTTCGTGTTCTGGTATAAAAAGGGTTGCCCCGTAAATCGACAGAATAGATACAATATTCGAACCAAAAATTTATTTTCATACAGGCACAAATTTTGTGCTGCAAATGCTTATCCTTTACACGACTAAACATATATCAGCCGGAAAGCAATAGTGGCGAGGATAACCCACCACAGGGGTTTTATGTGGCCCACGTTGTTCAAACCAGAGATGTAGTAGCCACGGTAGAATGCTCCATATTCATATTCGGGTAAGAAGTTGAATACTTCGTTTGTCTTATCGGCATACTTCACCGCGAATGACATTTTCTTTTTTTCGACGTAACCGGTGAGGAACATAATATTGGTAGGCCGAGGCTCTTCCATGTCTGTGGGAAGGTAAAAACTGTCAAAAAGTTGGAAACGTCAAATTTGTTTTCCTAAAGTGTAACAGATATTTACTTTTCAGTTGATTTTACGAATTTAATTACTTTATATTCTTAATGTACATTGTTTACTGTATAACAGAAGCAAATTACGAATGCAGTGCATTAAGTGAGAAAAACAAGGGCAGTGTTGTGACTGTTAAGTCGTTTACAAAGACATACAGAGCGGGCTATATACGCCCAGAGATGGCGGTTTGTAGCTAGGCCCTGCCAATTTGGCCCCTCCAGAGACTTCGATTTTCTTAAGAATTTTAAGAAAATAAAGGATTTATGACACGAGACAGTTGTTTTTCTACGAACAAAGAAGTGCAATTTTAAGCAATTTTATCGTACCTGAACGTCATTATTAAAAATAATGAGATAGGAAAACGAATATCCGCGGTCAACCTCCAGGGTTTCCCTGACGACTGCGCCTTTCGGGAGTTTTGGTTCTAACATAAGGACATTTTGAAAAAGTTTAATCACAGAACGAGGCAAGATGCTGGACCAGTGATATAGGAGTGCAAACAATCATAGAGGTGTTTATGCTAATGTTGACAAATGAACACGGAAACACGCTAACTACACAGCTAATCATTTCAAATCTGAAATTTAATTGATGAATGCTGCTGAACGCTCTAGTGAAATGCACAGTCTTGATTGATAAATTACCGCTCTACAGTCTTTGGACTGATATAAACTAAAGAACTCTCCTATCTCCTATGATGGCCTGTAAATTTGTCCAGTGTATTGGACAGTGAAATATGCTGAAATTTCACTAATTCCCTTCGCTGAGGTAAGCATCATAGAATGTAACCAAACCTACCTTGTTTTGGCACGCCCTTTTCATTTATCACAAAGGCTTGTGGGGAGTTGATGTTACGAACATAGAACGTTATCGCAGATACGGCTTCGGAAATCTGTCCGTGCAGAATAGCACCTCTTTTTGCTAAAAACAGAAGGGAAATGTAGATCTACCGATTCACTTATATATAAGTTTGCATGTTTTCCGGAAGCATACCGTTAAATATCTGGAAGCAGAAAACCCCCGGCTTGCAATTATCTCGTCTGATTGTAGAAGAGGAGTTTATAACCTAAAACAGTGGTTTAAAACTTGAGTCTTAGTAAGTAGGCCACAAAATAACATGTCCAATAAATGTGGGCATTGTATCTTTCAAGATGGTAATATAACTTTTACGCAATTCGTTAGCTGTCGTTGAATTGCTACATCAATGAAAATAAAAACCTACCTCCTTGACCGGAGGGCTGAATAGAAACCGGTAAAAGCTCGTTTTCTCCCCGACCTTGTAATCAACTGCAAAGCAGCTTCCTGAAAGTCGGCATTATTTATTTGTAATGCGCAACATAAAGTGTGGTAAGCAGGCATACGCAAAGGATAACCAAGTAAATAAAAGGTGATTTAAACAAATAAACTTTATGCTCAGGCAGATTTAGTAGATTGATTGTAGAGTGCATGAGCACACGCTTAATGCCAGGTTTTCTCTCCATATTGAGCAGATAGCTATTGCGCTGAGACACGCACACTTATTTGCGAAGTCAAAAAGCCTTGCCAGCATGACATATTTGTTTGACCTGTGTAAAATGGCCTAATATTATTGACGAATGCATTCATAATAAAAATATTTAGAATATATATAAATATATATGAGAACAAAATGCTCACCGAGCAAAAGCAGTATGCATATAAGCTTCATCGGAATCCTGTATGTGTAGATAAAATTATAAATGCTTATAACGACAGGAAAACGGATTTTATTTAGAAAGGCCGACTTAACGATTGAAAACAAAGATCTGATCATTTATCAATCCTCCGATTTTATTCAGGAATTCTAACGCAAATTAAAGGCCAAAGTAACCAAGAAAACGAGATAAAAATTCACCTTATCTAACCGGAGCTGAATTTGACTGCCACAACTACTTTATTTATAGTAGCTCGACGGTGATCTGGAAATATGTCAGCCAATAAAACAGAAGAATGTGGTAAGAACACTGCAAATAGACGTACCTTGCAAATATCTGTCAAACAGCTCGGTGTAGATCGATAACACGCACGGTTACTGGAAACACACACCGTTAAATGAAATTTAGAAGGCAATGATAGGTGTGCTAAGCTCATCTCTAGTGTAGAAGTGGTAATGCCATTATTAGTTGCTAGAGTCTATCCTCGCTTATATGTGAAATAGTGTCACTTTTTTCCTCTTCATCGCTTAATCCGAGCCGCGCCTCTTAGTGTGAAAACTCGTACCACTTAAGCAGTCATTTTAACTGAGTATAATTTTTGCAGGCGGCCGAGAAGTTAAATCGAAAAGCTGGCATCCTGAGGTAAATGAATTATTATGGGATTATGCTGCACGGTTCTTAATATAACAACCCTGCTTGAATAATCTTGTAGAGTCGAAGACGCCTTTCGAATTTTTGGCTAACAGTTTATGAGTGAGCACATCTACTGTAGGTGCTTCATATCCCGGAGACAATAAACAGGATATGGACAGATAAAATGACGTCCACACTGTTTGTGCCACGAGGATTGGTTAGGCGGGGCGACTTACACTCAATGCCTACTGCAAAGGACATATGTAGGTGTTGGATTAATCGAATATCACGTGGGGCGCAGCGTCAGATCTTCCGTTGCGGTCATTCAAGTGACAAGAATCGTTCCAATCTGTTTAAGATAGATGAGTTTAGGTGCTCAATTTCCGCGTATGAAGGCAATATCGTGTGCAGTTAAACATATATTGCAGCTATCTTGGTTCATAGCGTAGGCAATTCCCACACCTGACATTAGAAGACAAATTAGCGGGCATTCAACTGCTCTAGATGAATTTCCGCCAGAGCAGTACACTTATACTAAATGGAGTAGAAATCAAACATGTGGATGCTAAGGCAAGCCGAGTTGGCGGTGTTTAGACAACACGCTTGTTATAGTAAAGATGGACATACTACAGAATTTCTACAACCTATTCAAGGCAGTCTTTCTTAATATAAAATCCACAAAGGAAGAAAGACCGGGACAGCATTTGTTCTGTCCTGATGGGCGTGTCAGAGGAAACCTTAGGGGCGAACTTGAAAGGACGGTTTATAAGAAGGCATCGATCGACCACAGCACAGCTTATTTTCTCGGTGGCTCACAAACGATGCTGTATGAACACGCTCTTCAAATCCATTCAAACTCACCGCTGCAAATCGGAGGGAAGAACACGTTAAGACCGTTATTTTCGAAGGCATTTATGAGTCGCCGCCTGAGTTTTGACACACAGAGGACCTAAACATCAACACCAACAAGGAAGTGACATTATCTGCCATAAATTAAGGACGTTTTAGAAACGATCTGGCGCATTGCTGTGAACCTAAGTATTGGAAGTACACACGGGCCTAAATTACTCATGCATAAAAATTAAAGAAGTGTTGATTCGCGACGAGCAATCTAGAGTAGTATATCGCATCCTGTGCTAACACAGTATATGTAGGTACACAGGCCAGACAAGAAGCATGCTAAGACTCTGCATGCCCGACGACGTCCACCGTGTGCTACACAGCAAGTGGAAGCAGGTGCGGTCGCAACCGACCGTGGTTCGATGGTTAGGCGCGTTGGACTTCTAAACAACAGGTTGCGGTATCTAATCCCAGGCGTTGCACGCCTTGGTGTCGGGTAGGACAGGCCGACGACGGCTAACAAGTCACAGTTGACCATTCCAGGCCCGCTTGTCTTTGTCGATAATGCCATTCTGCCTATATCATGCGCCACTATGTGGCTGGTGCCGGGATCGAGAGAGAGAGAGCCCTAAGGAACAAAGAGACGAGGACTTTCCGTAGCGTTATCGATGAACGTCCGCCTACCCTGTGCGCGGGAATTAGCTAAGAGAGTGAGTAGAATTACAAAGCGTATACCGCATTCTCTCCTCATTATCATCTGGGCCCTGCGTCAAGACATATTTAAGAAGACCCAAGTTGCGAGAGTGTGCATGTGGCTAGCACGGCTCTGCACGCAGAAATGCGTACCACCACACTCCTAGTTTACAACAAAACTTGACCAGTGTTTTTACCAACAACGGCACGAAAACTGGTCCGAAAGATGAAAATGACTGGATAGCCATGCATACAACGTGTATACCCAGCGGGAGCACAAGTGCATCTATCGGCAAGGAACCAGGTGCCGAGAACAGCCAGCGCACACCAGGAAGGGAGAGCCAACGTTTGCTGAATAATGACATGGCAGTCGCTCACAGACCTTTGGGCGCTTTCATGAAACATAAGCTGACTGTGCCACGAGGCGATGAATTATCACAAGTCGCTGTCCACTACTACGAAATGGACTGGGTTTAAGTTAGAACCCAGTGAGAAAATCGCCCACTCCGAAATCTGGGCTTCTGATGAGAACTCAGTCAGTAGATTTGTAGATCTGACGCCGGCATACAGAGCCCTGCGCTGTCGCGTCCAGACATCCGCCATCGTTTGCTCATTGGCTAGCATGCCCTATAGTTTTGCTTCTCTTGTTTTTGTCATTGTAACGGCGCAGAGCGCTTTCTGATGCCCTGTATGTACCCGTTGTCTCTAGATCCCTCTGATAAGTCATGGGAATGTGTCGAGTGCCTGACAAGAATTCGCTCTGTTAACTGAATGCTTAAGAACACGAGTATGCCCTGAAGATTTGTTGTCTACGTTAAACTGGATAGAAAACTTCTTTGGAAGCTACATGAGCGTTTGCCGTAATGACTCACTGATACCACACTCAGAGATGAAGGGAGGCCAACCACAGACCGTCAGTAAACACCGAAACAGCATCTCTACGAAACACCTCAATACCTACTAGGCGGATTATTTGAGGAGATAACTCAATGGATTCGTGATAGCGGCTCAGACCTGCTATCGCGTCCCACTGTAAACGTTAACATACAAATGTGTTAGTTGTGACAAAATGGCCAACAGTCACAGCACAGTAGGTTTGCTCTTCGGGGTGGAGAACAGAGCCGTTAACTGTCGAAAGCTATAACGTTTTTGTAGGTCTACGATTAGCAAGAAACTGCAGAGCAAGATATCCCAGTATCCGACAAGAACAACCTGCTTTGGCCGTTAATGCTTCCAGGAATAGTTAGAGATGGGCAAGTGTTGCGAGAAAACACGACCAAAGACGGAAGACTGGCAGTGGTAAAACGGACCTACCAGAAAGCGGCTGACGGCGAATAGGGCGGTTGGGTCCACAACACTTAGCGCGCCTGCTGAATCGGCGGCAATAAGGATAGCTTGTAGGTGAGGTGAGACGGCGACGGACTTTGGAAGGTTGCAGTCAAGAGGTCGACGGAGTTGGATCCGACAGCGAAAAGATCTTGGGCGGAAGCGAATTGCTTTGAATCACATCTGCAGCCTCGTACCCGCGGGCCATCTCCAGCGCCTTCTTCGACGAAATGTACTGTTTACGAATAACCTTCGAGTACGATTCTGTGTTGAGAACGCCTAGCGTACCTCTTTTGTGGAGTTCGGCCTCACGCCGGGTGGGAGTTTCACCCGGAAATGCGTCCATTGCCAGCTCTTGCAATGCTCCGATGTAGGCGTCGGCCGACTCTGCCGCTAGTTGCCGTCGACTCTACAACGCTTCGAATGCCAAAGTAAGAAACTGCTAATGGTCCAAGAGGTCGGTCAGAGTACTAATTAGTTTGGCGACAGGTGCATCCAGCAACATGTCCGTGGTCATTAGTTGTCGTACGGCCGAGTCATCCAAAAGCGTGACTTAGTAGGAATCGGCGTATGTGGAGGGGACGATACGGAGGAAGTTTTCGGCGCAGAAGACCCATTTGGAGTAGTAGTCGTTAGGATGAAAGGGCTGGGGACGGGGCGGCCAAGTCTGGCCTGGTTTTGCTCTTTGGGCACATATATGATCTAATAATGGACAGAACCGAGGCCACAGGTTGACCAACAGGAGTGGTTCCGACTGGGGATACTGGTCGGCATGCTCATTCTTAGATGTTGACATCCCATCTCTGACACCTATTTGTAACGTTAGACGTGATGGTGGGCGAACAAACGTCTAAGCGGAAAATTAAAGATCGGTCGGGGTTAACGGTAACAAGCGGAAATCAGGGAGAGGAACAAAGCGGGAGATAACAAGGAGACTAATTAGCCGACACGCGTCTATTGCTAATCGCATGTTCACAGGCCCCGAGCAAAAGTGTCGGATCAGTACGAAGATCTGGTTCGTCCGGTTAAGCATTAGCATGATTCACCAGGGCGTTTACTAGAGACCTTCTTAAATGAGACAGAAAGGGTACATGCAGAGCATCAGAAAACTTTCTGCCCCTTTATACTACTATCTCTGATGATGGGCTCGTACACTACTTCGAAAATCTAACATAATGAGCAGATCGAAGGCCTATTCATTGCTGACCTTCGTTGTAAACAGACGTTTTTCTCGAAAATGATGTTTGCTCCTTGAATGAGTCTTTACGTGTGACCCAAACGACCATCTACTAATTCAGTAAAGACCCTTTTAAAGTTCTTAACAGATAAGTTATTCAGAATATATCTTTACGGACGATCGGGTGAAAACACTGAAAATCATGAAGTATTCAGCAATATTTCGAGGCCGATCCTAAACTCAAGTAATCAAAAACGAACGAAAAGTGTAAATTAGTTTAGTGGAAGAACGTTTCTCTATATAAACACAAAATGTGATTTTTTTGAAGAAGGAGACACGATCGCC